AGCTACATTCTCTTAATTCAATGAATAAAGGGATTTGTTCTAATAGTGTTTGTAAATAAGATATCATGTCTGCATCTTGTACAACAAATAACCACTAGGAAGACAATATGCAATGTGTTAATTATTGGAACTGTCCTACCAATTTGATTTGAAACTGTCTCATTGCTATTTATTTCTCAATAAAATTATGGGGGGGAAAAGAGATTTGGGTCTCATGGTCAAGGAGAAGGACCTCCTGTCCCAGGACTGCCACCCTCTCTTTAGCAGTCAGGCTGCCTGTAGTACCTTGAGGAACTTCTTTCCATGTCAGTACCAGAGAAGTTTTACACAAAAAGACCCACCCTCTGGCTTCCCTGTGTGGGACCCCCAACACTGGCCCTGCACAGATCCCCACTCATGTGTAGCCCTCCCCAAAGACCCTTGGCTTAGTGAGATTTTTCCTTCTCACTGGCTCTTGTGTGCTGCCCTTGGAGTCCTTGTTTGCTTCCTGAACCTTCTTGCCAAAACTCAGAATTTGGTCCTCTCAGCTCCATCTCTCCATTCCTGTCATCTTTCTGCAGGCCCTTCAGGTTCTCTTTAGCAGAAAAGGGTTTTCCCTGTGTGACTGGAACAGTCTCTGGCAGCCCTAGATTCCCATCCCCCCAACCTCTGAGTAGGATACCCTCCCCACTAGAAGGTCTTTGAACAATCCTAGGTCATGCCTATGATTGACCCTGACTCTTCCATGTGCCCATCCCAGAACCAATCACTGTAACACAGGGATGTGTATGTGCCCATCCCATAGCCAAAGGGAGCAGAGCTCTGGGGCTGGCAGCTTCTCAGAGCAAAAGAAAGGGTCTGGGGCGAAGTATTTTCTCAAAAAACTGCTTCTGTTGAGTTAATGAAGGTGAACACCACAGATTCTTAACATTTTCATAGAGAGTATCTTGGAAACTGTGACTTGACCAAAAGGAATGTTAGCAGTAAGTTCAAATTCAAGCAAGGAAAGTCTTAGAGTCCCTCAGACTACCCACAGAAGGGACCATCTACTCTCTATCCTTGTACAACCAGAGCCAAAAGCCAAGCACTAGGTAGGAACACAAGTGATATTTTTTCCTTAGACTTAATTCCACTTGAAAGGGCTCTTGCAAATGACCAAGGCAGAGTATGTTGATTCAGTGGGTGATAAATAACCTCTCATTTATGACACCTCACTCCACTGGACCAGTTGATAACCATAATTTGACATTACAGAAGCTTTTCTTGTGAGAACAGAGATATCTGAGCCACTTCCCTTTTCAAAAAACTTCAGTCAATAGCTTTCCATGCTATTAGTGGAACAAATCCAAACTATCTTTGATTTGTGGTCACTTGACTGACGAAAGGCTCTGCCTTGCATGGAGCAGTAACTGCCTGGGAATCCTGCTGAGTGGTAAAATTCCTTTGGAGTCAAAGAAAACACAAATTTGAAGAAATTTAACTCTTCCAAAGAGACAAAAATGGATGGAAAGTGCTCTTGCATGCCGCTGGCCCTTCTCCTCTGACAGCTCACTTCAGTCTGTGCTGTCTTCTGTGATTTTCCAAGCACTGAGAATGCTGTCTTGGAAAGGAGTGGGTCTTCTTGGATCTTGAAACACAAAGACACTTGGAAAAGGATGAAACCCATGGGCTGGCCGGAAAAATCGCCATACTATTAGGCAGAATGTCAGTCCTTGGCCTGTACCTAAATACCGCCCATGAATTTCAGCTTAAACTCAGCCCAGCTACTGTATGGCAGCGAGTGGGAGGGCGTTGAGCATGCTGTCATTCACTGAGAGGAAGACATTGTTTTGCACAGGAGAGCTCCCTGCCCACCTCCATGCATTGAGCTAACCCACAGGCCCACATTAGGAGTCTTTGTACCATTCCTTCCAAAGGAAATGACCACAGAACTCAATAGTGCGTATGGAGGCTGCATAGGTTGGAAGAAAGACAACAGAGATGGTGTTTGTTTTAACATTGGAAATCTGGCTTCATTTTAAGACCACAGGAATGAAAGCCTACCTCAGCATTGAAAGAAACTTCTTTTCCTTAATAAGCTTTTTTTACTCTGGAGTAATTGACATTACAGAAAAGTTGCAAATACATTACAGAGAGTTCCTGTATGATCCTTACCCTGTCTCCACTGATGTTGGCTTCTTTGTTTCGATGCTACAGTTGTCAAAATGAAGAGACACTGGAAGAGAACTATCAGCCAAATTCCATACACTTCTCATACTTTGCCAAGCTTGCCACAGTGCCTAAGAATCCCATCCCATGGCCCACACTGCATCTATGCACCGTGCATCCTTAGTCTCCCTGGAACTAGGATGTCTCATCAATCTTTCTTCATTTACCATGACCTTCAAAATCTTGAATCTGGGGTAGATATTTTGTAGGATGACTTTGAATTTCTGACACTGTCTTGCAGTTCAGCCAAGGCTGTGAGTTTTCAGGAAGAAAACCAAGGAGTGAAATGCCTGACAGAAATTTTTCAGAGCACAGGTAACTCAGAAATTACCAACCAACTTGCCTTCAAGTCATGTCCTATTTTGTGGGTCTCATCCTGTTTTTAAGAAAATGCATGCCAATTTTGTGTTGAATTTTTCCAATTCAGATTTCCAGATTTCTTTTACAGACAGAGGTACCAAGGCATTCAGAGATGAGCACTGAGGAACAACCAGTTGCTTTAGGGCAGCAATGCTCCCTGGGCCCCACTGGTGGCCTCCATAGCACACAGGCCTAGGACCACCTCATAGCCTGTCTCCATGGTAGATTCAAGGAAAGAGGTCTTTCTTGTATTTCTCTTCTTTTAGAACAGATGCAGGGCATCTCATGAGGCAAGAAAATGGAGACGAGAGCAAGCAATGTGAAGACTGAGTCTCCAGACTATAGCACCTTTCCTGATGGCAGGAAATGGTGCGAACATGCAATCTGAACCCTGCGTGTGATTGTCTGTGATGTGGTCCTCGCCTCTCATCCGGCAACAGTGAGGAAGGACGTGGCTTAAGAGGGAAGCTGAATGTGAAGGAAGTCGACAGAATGTGAGGAAGTGAAAGAACCATGAAACTTTCCCTTGTCCCAAGTTCCTCCAAGACCCTTCCTAGGTTAAATGCATGCCACTATCCAGGGACAGTTCTGTCACCTACTGGGACACAGCCATCCAGGAAGGTCTGACCTTGAACAGGGTTCTCTAATTCAAATTGCACCTCAAAAGCCTATTAGAGGTATAGAGATTGTCAGATTCTCCTCTTCCCCAACCCATCCCTACCATCTGTCTTTTGTTTCATGTATGTATGTATGTATGTATGTATGTATGTATGTATGTATTTTTGAGAGAGAGTTTCACTGTTACCCAAGTTGACTTGAGTTCCTGAGCTTTGGCAGTCCTCCTGCCTCAGCCTCCCAAGGCTACAGGCTGTACCACCACCCCCAACTACTCCTGCTCTCTGTGACTCAGACATCTTCTCTCACAGAAGACAGAATTCTCAGGCCCAACCTCTCCCTCCCAGAAAAAAAGAGTGACAGGCTCTTCAACTCTTGCCCCTTGTCCCTCTCCTCATCTCCCTTGTCTAGTCTTGAAAACTTGAGAATATAATCCAGGCAAGGACCCACATGCCTCATGAATGTGATGCTTCCTCCCTGTGCCTTACCAGCGCAGGCCCCGGGCCCACAGGAAGGAATGAGCATTGGGCCTATAGGCAGGAATCTGGATCTCGGGCCTGGTACCAGTGCTGTATGGCACCAGCAAATTGCCCAACTTCCCTGAGCCTAAATTACTCACTGATCAATCAGGTGATCTTTTGACCTGTCTTGCTGGTTTCCTGCTCTCTCTGCTGTGTAAACTTAACCAGGTCACAGTATAAACTGCCTGACTTTCTTCCCATTAGTCACAGTCCTGAGTTACATCCTTCCTTCCCTGTCAGTAGCAGCCCAACTTCCTGTTATAGAACCTTCTTTGCATTGTTGTTGAACCTGCCACCCTGCTCCTGATAGAACTGCTATGAGAACAATATACTGCTATCTGAGCATGGGTCAAATGCAGTGATTGTGGCTCCAGTACTCGGCACAGGGCACACTTAAGAGAAGTTCAATCAACAATAAACACCCCCCCAAAAAGAAAAAACAATAAACCCAAAAAGCAAGCAAACGTAATAATGTACATGAAATGCTTTGTAAACTATCAGACCAGGCCCAACCTCTCCCCAGAAATCCTGAAATGGCCCACTGCCAGTGCCTTGGACCTGACCCTACCAGACCCCAACATCTGACTCAAATCTGTCAGTCAATTGGTTGACACACTACCAATCACACTCTTTCACTATTTGAGCTGTCCCAGAAATAATAAATCATGAGATGCGACTGACTGGAAATATTATGTAGAGCCAGAGCTTGGATACTATAATGGTCCATTCCAAGTACTAAAAGCCACCAGAGCAAGAGGGGACCAGGAGAGAAGGCTGAGAGATCACTCAGCCTTAGAACTGGAGAGGACAATCTCAGTTCTTGACATTTGAACAGCATTTCTAGGGAGCTAAACTGTGGTATGCATGCATATCTGAAACATGCTACCCTGGACACTGTGTAATAAATCTTTCTTTGCTTAAGGCAGGGGTGGAAGGGGGGTTGGAATGTCTGTTCCTCACGCCCAAATGATCTTCCTTGAAGACAATGGGAATCAAGACAGGCTTCCCGGATGTAGTGGTACATGACTCTGGCAGGCTGAGGCACAAAGATGGCAAACTCAAGCCCAGCCTAGGAAGCTTAGTGATTTACCAACACCCTATCTCAAAATAAAAATTTAAAAAAAAAAAACAAAAAAACAGTGTGGGCCTGTGACTCATTATGAAAGTTCAGGGATAAATTCCTAGTTCATAACAAAAAGCAAAAACCAGACTATTATTAACAAGCTCAAACTTACTCACAGGGAGAAGGGAGAACTGCCACACAGGTGAGGCCAAGCAGACAGTTGGAGTAGAAGTAGGAGCAGGGTGTTCTCAGCCAGGGCAGACTCTGACCCCTGACTCCCAAGGTTCTGCAGACACCTCTCTAGGAAGCACAGAGAGGGCTGAACCAGGCAGCAGAAGAAAAGCTCCAAGGACATGAGCCTAGGTCTGGGCCATTGCTGGAGCAGAGGGCCAACAGCTGCCAGCCCAGGCGAACTTCCGGGGCCTCTGATCACAACCGGCTGCAACACAGACAAATCCTAGAAGCAAAGTGACTAAAGAAGAAGGGACATGGCCAACTCCAGGCCTGGGCAATGTGATCCTGGTAAGAAAAGATTCCAGTCCAGGAACTGTAAATAACGTGGGGTGGGGGTGTGTTTGTCATGAGATTATGAAACACTGGTGAGTTTGCGGTTCCTGTAATTTGTCTATCTCAGAAGATTTCTTATTTATTGATTTCCTCCTGCAAGAGGCAGAATCACTAATTTGGTTTGCCACTGTTGAAAGCTCTTTGGTTTCTGGAAAGAGCTGGAATCCAACGAATTAAAATGGGTGTCTCTATGTCGGTTTATTTCTAAGCACAGAGATCAGCTCTTGCTATGACAATGGCTTTCACAAATGTGAAATTTAGTTCTTTTTCAAAGAAGTTAGAAATGATGGAAGGAAATGAGTATCTACTGAATATCAAGTAGGTGTCAGGCATTAAGCCAGTGCTTTTAGAAGGTAGAATGAGCTGAGTGTGGAGTTCATCAGGCCTCATAAAGAAACTGACTTGCCCAAATCCGTATCTGCCTGTCTCAGGTCTCCAATTTTGTCATTATTCTGCTTTCCTGTGGCTTCCCCAGGGCTTTAGGAAGCTAAAGGGTCCATGAAAGAGCTGGGCGTGGTGACACATGCTTGTAATCCCAGCACTTGGGAGGCTGAGGCGGAAGGATTACTTTGAGTTTAAGGCCAGTCTGTACTATTTAAAAAATATTGTAAAGACAAATATTTTGGCGAGTTGTGAGTGCCCACTCCTGATGCTATAATTTTATGTGAAGGTATTAAGGCAAAAAAAAGAGAATCATGAAAATGTCAGGCTTTAATTTATACAGTTCTTTTATTTTTAGGCTCATATTTCTAATCATCCATAATTTATTTTTAATGAGGTATGAGTTACAATTCTACTTTGTTTTTGTATTAATGAGTACCCAGGTATGCTGCTACAATTTATTTTTTAAGCAACCTTTTCCCCCAATGGGAAATGTCATCTTTGTCATTCATTATTTTTCTATATTTATTCATTCTGCTTCTGGAGTCTCATCTTTCAATTGATCTTTTCTAATGCTAATTCCCACTGTGCACATCTCTTATTTTTTAAAATAAAACTTATTTGTTCATTCATTCATTCATTTATTTGATACACAGTCTGTACACAGCTCAGGCCAATAGTGATCCTCCTGTCTTAGCCTCTCCAGTTCTGGGATTATAGGCATGCGCCACCACTCCCAGTTTTGGGGCTGGCACAGTGTCCCAGTGTTCTGGGGCTAGCACAGCATGTGGTACTGGGGATTGAACTTGGGTCTTTACGCTTGCCAGGCAGGCACTTAGACTGCTGAGCTATCTCCCCAGCCCACTTTCTCTTATTGAGAGAAAAGTTATGTTTCTCATATTCAACTATCTTACTGAATTCTCCACTTCATTCTAATAGGTTATTTAAGTCACTAACTTCTAAATATATAGTTATGATGCTCTTCTGTCCCACTGGTAGGAGGAACTTTGGTGAGTGTTACCCTGTACCCACCCATAAGAGAGCCATGTGGAGCTTTGGCCCACCCTCATCATCATCAGATCCTTCCTGAGCTGTGGCTTGCCCCACAAACACACACTGAGGTAGAAGCCACACTGAACCCCATATAGCAGGAGCTTTCATGAGCCTATCCCACCCTCCCACTCGCCTGGGAGCCTTGCTCACCTGGACCCTCCCCATACCATTGCTGCAGAGTCAGGGTGAATACTGGGAGCTTCAAAAATACCAAAAGGCAGGAGCAAAGGCAATCTCAGACCTCCAGCTCACCCAAAACAAGTCCAAGAGACAAGGACATAGAAGAACTTGGAAGTCACACACCTGAAATTTCAGAAATGATAGCAACTGAAGTGAAGAAACAACACCATCAGGCTATGGAGGAAATCAGATTAGCAATAATCTCTAAGGTAAAAAAGAAAGAAATGGCAACCATCATGAAAAAATATTGGCTCAGAACATCTAAGGAAGATAGATTTTAAAAATAGAGGGGAATAGGAAAATGAAGGAAACATTGAATGAACAATACAGGAAACAATTAGAATGCATGAAACAGATTCAAACAGGTATCCAGGATGTTAAGAATTCCACTGAAAGCTGGTAAAACTTCTTGAACAAAACTAGAATTTCAGACCCTGAAGATAACATTGCAGCTAGTGAACATGAATAAAAGATCTCTTACAAATAACAAGGAACCAGGAAATAACAACACAACAGCTGCAAGAGGATGCAAAGAAAAATAATATAAGACTAATAGTTATCAATGAAACAGATGCAGCCAACACAAATTATATAAAAAGACTATTTGCAGAATTAGTAGCAGAAAATTTCCCAAGCATGGGGAAAGAATCTGACATATGTATAAGAGAGGCATATAGAACTTCAGTTAGCCATAATCAAAATAAATCTATACCCAGACACACAATAATCAAGATCAACTAAACATATAGTTATACTTTCTATAAAAGAAAGCTAATTTTTTTGTTTTTCTTCAATGTTTTATACATTTTCCTATATTATTTTAAAATTCCAATGTAATACTAAGTAATGATAATAGCAAATAATTTTGTATCATTCCTAGTTTTAAAACGTTTACTATTCCATAGTTTGATGTAATTTTTATCATGTTTCATGCATTTTGGATGGAATTTGTATAGGTAATTATGGCTGAGTTTTATGGAATGCTTAGTAATAATAATGTTATCACCAATTATTATAGTAATGGTTTTTCTTTTAATCAATTTAGGATAACTTTAAACTATCTTTTCACACCTTAAATAAACTAGTTTCCATTCATTTTTTAATAATTTTCTATCAGACTTCTCTCTATCTTTTGTTCAGAATTTTGTCTTATACATCCTTAAGTAATATTGCATGGTTTTCTTTTTTCTCTCACACATTTTAGTATTAACATTATTTTTAATAATACTAGAGTTAATTGGAGTTGATTCCACTGATTTCTATAGCCTGGTATAATTTAAATAATCTCCTGATACAGTTTCATGGATGCTGCTACAAAATTCTTGGCTTAAAGATTTAAAAATAACTTATTATACATACAGCTATAGTTCAATATCAGCATTCTGCAAAGGTTTCCTAAGCCTCAGCCCCACGGGCAATGTGAAAAGGGCCTGCTGGCATCTGGACACCCAGTAGAGTGGTTCTCAGGAATGAAACCCTGAGCTTAGGAATCTGCTCATATTGTAAGAGGCATAAATCATGGCTGCTCTTTGCTCCAGAGGGAAACACTCTATCTTCCAAGTGTGTAAGTAAAGCTACCCTTTACTCTGAAGGGAAACACTACCTTCCAAAGTTGTTTACTTAACAAATGCCCTTGAAAAGCTAGGCTAGAACAAAAGAGAGGTAGTGTTTCATTTTCAGAACCACAGAAATATATAAGACCCGGAGAGAACTATTTCCCAATACTAAATTAGTAAAAAGGACAGAACATTCATGCTCAGTCATTCTTAAGCAGTGGTCATATGGATCTCATTTCATTATTTTCTGACTTTTTATGAATTGTTAAAGCATCCCCACCACTCCCACCAAAAATGAAAAGGCCTGTCTACTAATGAAGTAGTTGCCTCAAGATTTAAGTGTTCCAACAAAACATGGGTGACTTGCCATGTTTTAGAAATTTTGAGATTCTTCCATTGGATGGGAGAAGCAGGGCAACACAATTCTAATTCAAAGAATCTACAATATGGGATGGTCAGAATTCCTTACCTACTCCTAATATCTCCACTTTTCAGTATATTTGTGGATCATTGATACACACATACACACAACTGCCAAATACACACAATTGTCAAATGAATACTGCCTAGGACTATTCACTTTCTCAATCTCATTAGACATTTTTAAATGAGGATGTCTCAGTTACCTTTCTCTCATTGCTGAGACAAAATACCCAGCACCCAAAATTAAGGAAGGAGAGGTTTATTTAGCTCACAGTTGGTGGAAGTTTCAGTCCATACTCAGCTGGCTCCAAGGCAGAGAAGCTCATAGCAGAAGGCAGACATTCATGGCAATGGAAAACAGCAAAGAGCAAAAGGAAGGGACTGCAACTAGCTAGCCTCTGTCCCCCCTTACACTGTAATGCAGATTACCCACCCCAGGGCAGATGTAGATTTCACACCCATAATCCCAGCATAGGATCAAGAATTAATCACAAACTCTAGAAGCCACCCTATGGATGCATGAGGCTTTCAGGGGACAACTAGACACACACCATAACGGAAGATGATGGGAGAACTATCAGTTTTGTTCTTAAAGCATTGGTATATGAAAAATGTGGTGGACACTGTTGCATCCTGGAAATGAGAAGGCACCAATACAAAGCAGGAAGCAAAAGGAAGGGAAGCCAAGCAAAGAAGTGCCCCTCCAATCTATGACTTTTATTAACTGCTCCACTGTTATGAGACCTCTCAAGTTTTTGCATCAGCCAGGGGTTCTGCACATGTGTCCGTTATATAACATCTTATCCTCAAGTAACCTGAAGTTCTCATACAATAATACTCAAAGCATAATGGAAGTGTGTCTGCCCACAGATTCAGGAGGTACACATGTCAAGAAAATGTCAGCATTTAGCTCACCAAGTGTGCCTGGGAACAAGTTGTCCTGGGTCCTTTAACCCATGTCTATGCTACAGGACGTAAGTCATTGATGAGCAAGACTTCTATGATCCTCTCCCACAGAACTCAGTATCTGGTAAGGATGATAATTCAACAGAATCATTAGATGTAATTGGCTCTCAGATGTACCAGAAAATGATCCAGTCTCTTCCCCTTCCATACCTAATCATCAGTACCTTCCCAGGGAACAATGGCCAGAGATCTGGTATGATATTCACTTGACTGTCCCAAAGAGAGTAATGGGACATCAGGACCAGGGAACTCTGAGATTAACAAAATCCCACAAAGAGACTGGGCATGGTGGTGCGGGCCTGTAATCCTAGTGCTTGGGAGGCTAAAAACAGGAGGATCACTACGAGTCTGATCTGTGTAGCGAGACCCTGTAGGCCCTATACTAAATACATAAGAAAAATTCAAATTTATAGAAAATACTAAATTAATATTAAATCTTTGATTTTTACAGGAATCAGAGTACAACACCATTGCTTAACAAACTCCTCCAGCAATTATTTTAGAAAAGTATTTACTATGAAAAATGAAATGCACCTACAGTTCTTTTTCTTCTCTTCCAGATTTGACACCAGGCAGACTCAAAGTCAAATAAATAATGGGTGTAAAAGTAAACCCACATTCTAGTTTTCTTCAAAATCTGAACCAAATAACAATTACAATCTGGTACATCGGGAGTGCTAAACTACTAGATTGATTTTTCAAGACAGACTTCATCTGCCCCCTGCTGTACTGTGGGTAAATGACAGGGCTTCCTAATTTAGCACCCGGCTGTGCATGTTTTAGCCTATGGTAGCCTTCTTAACAAGGATGCAAAGGCTGAGGCCACATAGATCGGGCATGCAGTTCACTCACCACTGTCCTGAGCATGTAGCCTAGTCCTGTACCTGAAACATACAGTAGTAGGTACTTAGTAAGTGTATTTGATGAATAAATGAATATTGAATGAATGAATGATCTTACTGACTCCGTATAGATAGAACACTAAGATATACAGGTACCAAAAAATACAAATACATTGCAATGCTGTGCTCAGAAGTGTTTGAAAATAACTTGGTTCGAACTGTTCCTGCCTTGTCAACAGTCCAAAACACATTGTTAGGTTTTTCTGGCACAGCAGAGATGCAGAACTAAAAGAAAGGTGTGTGGGGGCTTTGTTAACTCTGAGGACAAGGAGAGGATCGAAGGGAGGTGAGGGACCCTCTGACCTGAGACAAAGGGGAGCTGAGACTTTGTGGACTTCTGTGAGGGGCAGAGCTTGCGGGGCAGGCTCAGTGACAGGGAGCTGATGGGAGGCTCCCTGTGTGCGTGGGGACGGTAAAAGGAAGTTGTATTCAGGGCTGGGTGGGGAAGGAGGAGGAAGTGGCCCTTGGGAAGACAGGCTGTTGTTTTGGGGGTTCAGCCATGTTCAATCAGGGCCATAATAATTTAGCAGTTTATATTCGGGCCAGAACCTATCACCTATTAATTCCACTAGTCTAGACAAGCTCATTCAATTTAGAACATTCAAATTTCCAGATACATACAGATTTTCTAAATGTGACTTCCAAGAAATACTTCTTGGAGAGTCTGGGATCTAAAAGCCATGGGGTAAAATAGTACCACAGAACTTTCTCCAAGATGGTAGAACTTGAGAGATCACAAAGTTCTTGGTGTCATTTTTCACCTCTTGCTGTCAACTTTCCTATGATTTTTTTTTTTTTTTTTT